ATCAAAGCAATGCAAGCAATCAGAAGGGAACGACTGACATAAACAGATGTCTGGTCAAATTTGGCCAAACATTCCGGGCAATGGGTCTGGATCAGGGCCCTGTGTATGTGTGAGAGAGGAAAGTTTAGATTCTTGAGTCACTGACAGACATGACTGTTTACTTCTTGTCTTCTCATGAAGACAATTATCCTCAGCATCCATTTAGCTATTTTAGGGATGTTTGAATTGTATTATGTTGATTGTTTGATTGATTTTCTTTGTGGCTGAGATTTGGCCTGAACACCATTGCGCCGCAGTTACTCAGAGGCCTGTTAATCATCCAGTGAACGCCTTCTGTTGTTTCAAATGCCAATCTGGACTCATTTTGAGGACAGTGCATCTTGAAAGCACTTGCACGGTTACTTCTGATCAAATGACTTCACTCAAACAGTTTATAAAAAAACAACTGCCTTGAATCCTTCGAGTAGCCTAATTGAATTGAAATGTGCATTTTCTTTCTGCACAAGATAAACAGTTGGAGCTACTAAAGTAAATTGAATTAGGGGCTCAAATGAGTCAGCGCATTCAGTCTCCATAAATCACTGTGTAAACGGAGCATTTGAAGTTTGAACCTAACATTCAAAATTTTTTCGATTTGGAACAGCGTGGTTTACATCTCGCTGATTGTGTCTTGCAGGAAGGGGAAGACGCACAATGGCCCTGGAGAGGAGAGGAAGCACAGGCTCATGGACATGGTGAGCATTTTTAAGTCTCTTCTCTTCTGCTGCCTTTTTTCCATTTTCTCATTGAGTGTTATTCACTAATAATTGCACACAGCTTGTACTGCCATTTCTCAAACATATCTTCATCCATTAAGTTATCTGTTAGTATATACACACACTATACTGTATATAGCCTATTTCTGTTCAGTTTGGGGTCAGTTGGTGTTTTTATAACAACTTGTTTTGATTTATTTAAATCCAAATATTCAGCAGCCATTACTGCAGTCTTCAGTGCCACATGATCCTTCAAAAATCATTCTAACATGCTGATTTGGTGCACTGGAAAATTTCTTATCATCAATGTTGAAAACAGATGTGCCACGTATTTTTTATTTTTCAGGATTCTTTGAATAGAATGGAAAGTACAACATTTATTTTAAATAGAACTCTTCTGTAATATTATACATTTCTTTACTGTCACTTTTGAGCAATTTAACGTGTTCTTGCTGACTAAAAGTATTAATTTCTTTAAAAAACAAAATCCTACTGAACTCAAACGTTTGTATTTATATAAGCAGAGAAAAAGGATAACCTAAAGTAATCTTCAGGAGAAACTTTATTGATAAATCACGATTTCGGCATGAAAACATTCACAAATAAGTTTTTATGCACAATTACGTGTGTACACATTGCTAATGAATGAAACCCATTCTTCTTCTTCTAAATAATTTCCCTCTTTTTCTCTGTATTTTCTAAGGAACCCAGGTCTGGGCTCAGTTCCATGTCAGTTCAAGCAGTTCATGGTTTTGTTTCTCCTCCTGAATTTAATTAATCTTCTTAATCGGCTCAGTGGAAATAGATCTGACCTAAACTTTGAATGGATCTCTTAAGCTTCGAATCTAAAACAAAAGAATATGGCCCATTTCACTATTTTAGCATCCCATGTTGTATGACACCCTAATGTACTGTAGATGTATTTTTTTGTCACCCAGAACATTCCTCAACTGTTTTACCCTGATTTTACCTTGGATATCAAGCAGTGATGGTGACCCAGCACAGTACACAATAATATAAATAACATACAACAGTAAGAAGTAATAATTTCAAACATGAATCTATTAATATTGCCATGTACTTGCTTGACCCAACGATATGCCCAATGTAGGCTGAATAAGAAAATTTAAATTTTTTGTTGTTGTATTGGTTATGCTGTTTTATTTGAATACATTTTAAGCAGTTTATCTGTGCATCTGTTTTCAGAGTATACTGCGACAGTCCAAGCTGACCTCCATCAGTAAGTCAGACACCAAGCTTCATGAGATGAACAGACTCAACTGCAATGGCAAGAGTATGTACTGTACAATCACATCTCTTAAAGCTTGATAGTCTCTAGTTCCTCACATATACCTGCAGTTCGTTGGGAAGGTCTGAGCATGGTACCAGCTATGTTTCAGGAGTTTCCATAGGGGCTATTAGTAGACATCTATCTATATCTATAGTGATTGGCATGTGTCTGCTGCCCTTTGCCTCTGCAGTTTCGAGCAAATCTTTTTATTGTCTCTTTGAAAAAACAATGGTTTTGCTTCTCAGATTTTAGTTTATATCATGCTGCTCTCTGTAGAATCTTCTAAGAAGAACCGTCCTGCCAGCATGGATCTGCTCCTACTTCCTAGCCGTCGCTCAAACTCCGACCTGCGTTCTCAGGGCCGCCAGCTGCCTCAGATCCCCTCTGGTGAGGATGGGGAACACACGTACGCCGAGGTGGGCCGCCGCTCTTCTCCCACACGCGGTTCTGAGGATGCCCGCTATGGCGTAGGAGGTCGAGCTGGAGAGACGGACACACCCGCCCCACCGGCGGTCCCTGCTAATACCCCTGCTCCACCTGATCCCGATGTGGACTGCTTGGAGGGCGGGATTCCAGAGCCAGAGACCCTCCCCCAAGTGGTAAACACGCCCCCTCAACCACAGGAAACAGTGGAGTACGCCTGCATCAGAAAGGTCCGGAGAGTGGACAAAGCAGCACAGAAGAGGGACAATGGGACGGAGACCGAGGAGGGGCTCGGACAACAACAACGACACAGCAGTGGGGACATTCGACATGCCCCGCCCACTCACCCAGCCCCGCCTCCAACACACCCACACAGTCAGAAGATTCCTCGGAAAAACGTGGAGGCCTTCAATCTTCCATCTTTCCCTAAGGTAGGTATCATCTATCTATCTATCTATCTATCTATCTATCTATCGGCACTTTTCCACTGCGTGGTACGACTCGGCTCGGTTTGCTTTTCCACTGCAGTTTAGTACAGCTTTAGAGTGGGCTCCTGAAAAACGTTTTCATTCCGCGTCGCCCCATCAAGCTCTCGCTGGATCCGCTCATCTGCTATCAACGAGAGGAACGTCTGTACTTCCTCAACAGACAACGAATCAGACATTTTTTGGTTGTTATAAAAGGTGCGTTCGTTCAAAACAGTTGCATTCGATCCTTCGCTGGTTGTGCTGATTTAAATCAAGCAGGTCTGTTGTTTCGTGTCGCAAGTTCAGTGACGCAGGTGGTGACAATTCTCTCTGGCCAATCAATAATCAGCAGAATTTACACGTCATGTTTTGGTAACGGTACGGTTCGCTATCTATCTATCTATCTATCTATCTATCTATCTATCTATCTATCTATCTATCTATCTATCTATCTATCCAGGGCCATTTCTAGCCAATTTGACGCCCTAGGCGAAATCCCTATCCCTATATAAATATTTTTTAATTGGATGTTAAAGTTTATATGGGAATATAACATGACACGCTGATCCTTTAACAATGCATTGGCGCAAAAAACGCACACCTTTTGGACAAATCTGCCACAAATATTTGGACAAATGTGCCACAAATACTGCCTAAACAAAATACTGATTTTGTGCACGTTATTTACTGTACCAATATTTTAAATTGGCCTTTGAACTTAGCTTTATTGCATGGCAAAAAAAAGTGTTACCTTGCCAAAGCACTGACAGAGCCCACTGATCTAATGGCGTTGTTGAGCGCTCCAAATGCAAACTTTGCATGCAACAATCAGGCAGCAATTGACAGCACTCTGATCTAGTGGCATACAGGCATCGTCAGATTGACAGTACTCTAGCCCAATAATGTTGGGGGATCCAGTGGGGGCGGCAGTCATATTTCAGGGTGACCGTGCCACTCTTTATCACAACCCTGCTAAAAGTGCCAGTACATGCGCTCATTGGCGCCCCTTCAGCTGGTGGCGTCCTAGGCGACCGCCTAGCTCGCCTATGCCTAGAAACGGCCCTGTATCTATCTATCTATCTATCTGTAAGACCTATAAAGCTTTCAAAACTTTTTTCAAAACCTTCAAACAAGATTGACATTCAAAGTTTATTATTTCATACATTTTTTAGTTAAAGCTGCAGTCCGTAAGTTTTGCCTCTTTGTCGCCATCTCTGTTTGAAAACCTGGAATTGCAGCTGTGTGCGGAATTATCTAGCTTGCGTGGGTTGTGAGTCGGCACGGCTCCAGCGCGGATGAATCTAATGTTCTGAAGAGTATGTGTGGCAGTCAGTCACCGCACCGGTGTGGATATTTACTGTACTTGGCAAACACAGATTCTAGCCTACGTCTTGGAATATGACCCAAATAAGAATTTTCACCGTATATTTCCATCTGAACAAGTAAGTGACAAGTCTGCCACTTTCTTCTGACCAACTGAGGAAAAAAGCATTCGTTATTCTCAATATATATATATACTTTATTCTCAAACATGTTAACAACATCAGCATTGGTGACTAATTGTCATACTCTTCGAATTTCATATTAAGAAATTCTTTTAACCCAAAAAGCAAATTATGCTCCCTTCAAACTGGTTTTCTTTAAAATACAAATCTTTGTAATACCAGGCTATCTGTAATCAGAAGCACATTTACTATAACTGGAATATAATTTAATTTCATTCACATGTGTTTCATAAACACATAATCCTTTATGGATTACAATCCGCCATCAAAATTATACATTTAATTATTCTGGCTGCTGTGAGAAAAGGCTATAAACAATCGGCCACCTGCAGGATCCTCACATGCGATAGCCTAGTAGCTGGGACAACTTCTTTATGTTTACAGACGTGACGTAATGACGCAGTGCCATGCTCGAATTTCCCGCGAAAATCTACCCGTACCACTCAAATTAGAAAACATTATTATAAGCTAACTGTTGTGAATCGGGCTAAAGTAAGGCAATAGTTTTGAACACTGGCTGGTTATGTACTTGCTCAAATATTGATTTCGGATATTGATTTTTTTTTTTTTACTAAAAAAAGTTACGGACTGCAGCTTTAAAAATTACAATCTTATAGTCAGCACCTATAACCTCGTGGGCAGTGCACTGATGTATAATGCCGTTGCACTTCGAGTGTCCCGAGTTCAAGTCCCAGCTCGTGGACCTATCCGGTCCCCCTCTCTCTTACTTCGCTTTCAGTCTAGCTACTGTCCTGTCATAATAAAGTCAATAACAGCAACAATAAATCTTTTTTTTTTATTACAATCTCATGAGTTTCTTTGAATTTGAATTTGAATTCGACTTCCTTGGATTCAAATTCAATTTGGATGCAATTCTGTATCCTGTTTGGTGCCTCAATTCAAATTTAATTCAAATTCTGTAATTCAAAAACAGTAATTTAAAGGGTATTTTCAATTCAATTCTGAATGGCACACTTCTTCACATACATTCAGCGCTCGTGTAATTCAGTATTTCATAGCACTGCAACAGCAGGGATTTAGCTGAGGCTACAAATGTAAAAAGCACTATTGCGGTGCTTGAGAGCATTGTTGCTGATGGAAACTATTTGTCCTTTCATGACTACTAAAAGCCTTCGACTTGCTGTAATTTGCGATTGTGCTTTAAATTGTGTCTTAAGATGGAACATATTATAAATAGAAGCATGCTGGAAATGGCTTCCCCTATTTTTGTGAGCCTCAGCACTTGTGTGGACTTGCAACTAAAATGGATCTGCAATTAAGTAAACTGCAAGTGTACTTCATTATTTTCTCTGTGAGAACATTGTCCAAATCAATTATACTTGCGAGCGTTTAGTTGTCCGTCCACAGCATTTGGGGTGTTGCACACTCACAGGCACTTTACTATGAGGATGATGCAACCAACGGAAACACGGAGTGAAACCTCTCAATCACCGAAACCCAGGCATACAGCCAGACCCAGAAAATGGGCCAGTCCTAATGGAAGACAAAGTGAATTGCTATGGTGAACGAAAGAAGCTACAACAACATGCTAATCCCTGCCTTAAAAATGGCACTGTGACACACCCCATTGCCCACCTTCCGTTTCTCCTGCATAACGATGAGGAGAAAATGCACAGCAAGCATCAGCCTGTTCCCTTACGCCCGAGTACAGGAAACACATTAAGCTCAATATCATTAGATGCAGAAGATGGTTAGACATGAGGGGGGACAGTAGCCTGATTGTGCTACATAGGCTTATTTTCAGGGAGAAGAGTTTTTAACTGACTCCTCAACTGGTTAACTGTATGACTGTGAAACTATCTAATCTAAACTATCTAAGCGTTCTGTCAGTCTGTCTACTATTCTATCAAACTGTCATCTAACGTTCTATTAATCCATCATCAAAGGTGAATTTTTAAACAATATCCTGGCTTTTTTCAATATAATAAAAGTAAATATAATAGAACAAAATTTAACTCATCCAGTTCTTCGATGTGACTTTCATGAGTGACTAATTCTTAAATTTGTTTCTCACACGAAGACATCAAGAAGACAGAATATTGCACAGTTTGTATGGACAATTTAATAGTATTTTCATGCTGCTTTTGCACCTTTTGAAGCTTCCATTTTGAAAGCCCCTTAATCTTCCACAGAAGAGATAAACTCATACTGATTTTAAACAACATGAGAGTGAGTAAATTATGACAGAATTCATTTTATGGGTAAACCATTCGTTTAAAACTACTGCTTTAAACCCCTGAACTGCCCTCGGAGTGCATTGTTGATGCTGTTTCGTGAAGCTGTTCTACACAGCTCTATTCTCCAGTGTATATTGTTTGAGATGGCCCCTTAAAAGGTCGTGTAATATTTATTCTAGTCAATTGTTTTTAATATATCAGGAGGCAGTGTTTATGGGAAATGGAGAACAGTACATATGGAAACCTCCGGAAGACGATGACATCTTCCAGCACAAGCAGATGGGTATTCTGAGCTCTCATGCAGGAGAGAATATGGCAGCATCTGCAGCAGGGGTGAGTGCATTTAGTTTTCCAGTCTTGACACATCCTCTATTTCTCTATGCAGTCAAAATGTCTTCTAGGTATTATACATTCTTGAAACATTGTCTGTGAATGATCCCAGAGTACTGCCTTACCCATAAACACTATTTCAGAGTTAACCAGAAGCAGCTGTAAACCCACAAATATGTATTCTTAATAGGCCGGATTGTTTTTGTTGCATATCAGACAGCGGGAACTGGAAAAGCAAACTTTTGGAGTATAAGATATATACACAGATTTTCCACTCATGAATATGTTTCAGATGGTTTGTCTCTCTATTATCATGTAGATCACAGAGATGTATTCGAAAGTCTGCAAACCGGGCAAAAAGAAGCGAGGCATGCCTGGCTCGCCCACTGCCACGAGGGACATCAGCGGCTTTAGGACCTTGGCTCGAGGTGACCGCGGTGAGCGTGACGGGGGTTTCAGCGTGGTAGTCAAACCCCAAACGTGGGCCCCACAGGAGGGCAAAGGCATGAGAGCGCCACCTGGCTGTATGGAGGACCACTGCTACGAAGCCATCAGCACTGAGGAAACAGACCTGGCTTACGAGACCATGGAGGGTGGGGGGGGAGGCTGGATGCGTGACAGGCCTCCACCCAATGCCAGTGCCACCTTGCGGCCCAAGCGGAAGCGGCCCCAGCAACCCTTGCAACAACCACCGCCACCCCCTCCACCCCCCCAGCAGACCCCCAAACTGCAGCATCTCCCAGCCAAAACAATGCTGATTCCCGGGGAGAGCCTGTACGAGAGCATCCCTGACCTGAAGCAGGGCTCGGCCACCTCCAGCACAACCACCATCTTTACTTTTAATGACGGCATGGAGATGTATGTCACTGGCCTGTAGGGGGTTCTCTGGGGAAGGGAATTTTTGCTCTCTTGGGGCTTGAATCTTGAATGGGGACATGTAAGCGTGTCGTAACCCAATGGGATACGCGCATTGTGCCACTGCTATATATTTTACATTAGTTGAGCATTAATTGAGTTTTGTAAGTCTAGTTAAATGTCAGTATTCTCGCAGCACAAAACGATAGAATGCTTACGTGAAAATCCAAAAGAAATGATTTCGCCTAGTCACATGCCTCCATAACGAAGAAGAAAAATAGTCACCAGCCACGACATATCACACCCAACAGTAGCATTCCTATAGAGGAAATTCTTGTTTTTTGTCATTACATGCTGTAGTTAAGGACAAAGTGACCATCGGAATTGCGGGTCAAACTTGTATTTGATGCCTAGAAAATCCCAAAGTAGGAAAAATAGAGCACAAGTCTATAACAAATAGAACTTGTTAAGAAGCACAGTTTAATTGTGTCCCCGTGGCCCTCTGAAAAGAAGAAAAAATTATAATTTGGTAGATGCCCTCAGCAAAGTACCGGTTTAAAAAAAAAATGAATATACAGAAAGTGAACATTATTAGAAAGCCAATCAAAAGCTATTGCCAAGCAAAATATCATATATTGACTAAAGCCTTTATTTAATCTGTTCATAGAAGAGTTGATCCTATTTTAAAATGGCTAAAAGCTATCTATTGCCTAAAAGCTTTAGGAAACACATGGCCCTATTTTTGTAAATTCAACGCCTCTATTTATGTAAAAAATTAATCAGTTTTAGAGCTAAAATAAAGATTCTAATTCGATTGGTCAAACAGATCCTGTACGCCAAGAAAGTATTTTCTTATTAAGCACAAATATCTCATGCTTAGCATGTTGTCTGTCTGAGACAGTGCCCTTCTGAAATTGAAGAGTACTAGATTTAAAATCTGTTAAAGTAATAGATGGTAAATTGCAATTGTCAATAAAGCAAGATCATGGAGAGAATTAGCAAAAGCTCAGGGACTGAACAAAAATATGAAATAATTGCACACAAAACGTTATGACATATCTCACAAGAGACCCCCAATGTCTTTTCATGTTATTTTCTTGTTTTGGTCATACATCAATTCAAACTGTCACATAAGTCACCACAGCACTTCAATGCGGTAAAGTAAGTGTTTTTCTTTGTCAATACTGTTTATGCACTTTGCCTGATTAAAAAGATGCATGCTTTCAAGAAGAAATACCCTTGTAAAGGGATAAAAAATAGAAAAGAAAGATAAGTGAAACTAGCACTGTCCTGTGGTATCAGAATGGTTTATTTCTTGCTGTTGTTGGTGGATTGTTTGATTTATATGCCTTTTTCTTCATCTGAGAAAGAGCACAAAGTGAATCGCTTCAGGATTGAGGGAGACCAATGAGGACTCGAGGAGGACTCTCTAAAAAAACTGGACAGTTAGGAATACAACACAATTGGTCAGAAGAAATGTATCATAGACAATCCCTTCCCAATCCCTCGTCCATGTATGTCCAGATCAGATTGAATGGAATCACATACATTAGATTGCTGCAAAAATCTCCTGTATGTTACATGAAAATAACGGGAGATTAAAAAAAAAAAAAGAAAAAAGAAGGTACAATGACTAAGCGATTTAAAATTAGTGTAAGTCTATGGGAGGGGGGTTTGGGATTTTATGGCCAGATAGTGACAAGTTTCACCAGTGGACAATGTCAAAATATCTATGATATGTGGACTATAGCCGCTATCTCTTGGTGTCTTTGAATCTGATGCTAATGTGATCTGGATTAAATTATCCCAAATGGCTGGATCACACAAAAAGGGGCTCAGGTCAACTAAATATAATCAAACCGCTTGTCTAAGCCCTCGTTGCTATCAAATGTTGGTGCAATGTTGTAAATATGTTACAAGAAGAATTACAGAAGAAAATGGGGGGAGGGAATTTGCTCTTGGTGTTGCTGAAAGTATTTGTTTCTTTCTGGTTGTCCTTTTGGAATGATTTTTCTCTGGTGAAAAATTATCTCTGCAGTATCTCTGTGAGTTTTGATTATGTGCTTTGGGATTTTTTTGTTTTCCACATCATTTTAGCTATACTGTGTATCTCAAAGACCAGTTGAGTTTAGTGTGGCAGCTAATGTCGTGTGTTTGCTTATCAAACAACAGGGTGGTGTGTATTAAAGCTGTGTAATTAAGTACTAATGTGCAAAAGATTGTAATGTTTTTATATCAAAATGACTATTCATAAAATGTCGGTTCAAGTTTATACTTTTTTAAATAAAGTAGCACTTCAAAAAACACAAAGCATATACCATTTACATAGTGTTTTCTCGCTTGCAATAAGCCATTTATTAATTCTCTAACCACTAAGTGCTCAAGACAATCCGATCTCAGAAAAATTTTACAAGGTGGCAATTACATCCGAAATTGTATGATGTACACTTTTGAAAAAAGCATGAAGGTTTGCCCCAACCCAACCTCTAAACCTAATTATCAATGACGTAAGCAGATTGTATGAAAACCTAAGAATGAGATTGTACGAATTCATATGAATTATAGTTTGAAATACTTATGAATTGCCTTGAGATTGTGGTGGACACTTACAGGAACCTTTTTTTTGGTAAACGTGTAGTGCTAAGACAGTTCTATCATGACAACTCTCGTAGGGTAGGGTACATGACAATGTTAATGTTTTTGGTCTTGGAATAGATCTGATACGCTGCTGCGGCAGAGCAAGTACCAAAACACAAGCTGCTGTGAGCATGTAAGAAATACTGCTGCTGCACATATAACATATATGAAATAGCCCCATATATAGCATACCTGAATTACCCCATAGCAGGTGGAGCTGGGGAAGGTGGAGTGTATCTGAAGTGTGCTGCAATTGCTACAGCAAGCACTAGCCAAGTATTTCAATGTTGAGCAGCAAGCTCATTGGCTGCTGATACAAAAAGAACCAATCAGCTGTACCATGTGATGATGTCATTATGAGTTGTATCGGACTGCGCCATCTAGAGTTTCATGACAGAACTTTGGATTTATATGATCATTGTACATCCACACTGGTTGTCAGAGTAACAACACAAAAACCATGCACAAGATTTCAGTAATGGATGTCTCTAAGGCTTTTTCATGAGTGCAGGACCTCTATCTGAGATATCTGAACATATCTGTCGCAGACAACAGATATAAAAATCAGAAAGGGTAGAATATGCAATATTTATTTGCAAGTACCACAGTTAAGTGAGGGCTATGAACCTGCAAAGGTGAAGAATGTGAAAAACATGAAATCTGATCTGATCACTCATACCAAGATGCATTTAAATTATCATTTTAATCAGATTTCAGGTGTTTTGCTTGTTCAGAAAAAAACAAATTAAATGACTTTTTTTTTTGTTACCTGTAAGAACCTGCAGATTTGTTTACAGTAAATATTTCTGTCTCTGGGGACAAATGAATGCCAAAAGAGGAACTAAACCGGATTTAATTATTTCTTAGTTCAGTATTAATAAGGTTATTTAAAAAGAACAATGGATTTTTACAGCAACAAAGATGTTCACAGACGTGAGATCTCGCATAGGCAAGTCTTGCTCCTCCGACTTACTGACTTAGAAAAGAAACAGATGTGCGCCTGTGTTAGATTTGCATTTTGTGATGTCTGTAGGCATCAATGCAAAAGGTTCAGCAAATATTCCAGAGGACATTTCTCATTCTAAATCTGGATATGATTAGGCTCTGATTAAACTGGCTTTGATTAGTTTATACACTCAGGTAGATGAGGGATTGCATTAGAGTTCTTTGTTTACCCTAATTAGCCATTGAAGCTGCAGTCACATCAGCCTTTCACTGTGGTACATGCTGTTCCTATGACAACTGCCTCACTATCATGGTATGGTATTTAAGAATTCCCCTCCATTGAGACAAAATCTCATTGCATTTCACAGTAAGATTACATTACAAACAGATGGAAGAGGTCATAGGATTTTTTTTTATTTAATTCAAATCCTCTACCAGAACATATGAACTCGTGTTTGTAAAAGTGTAACCTGCTTTCCTAACTCTCTTACTGTGTCCCTGTGTGTTTATGTGTGAGAGTGTCACAAGCTTGCATCTGACTTGCTCTGGAAAAAAAATAGGTCATCCTTAAAACAAAAAGGGTGCAGTCAACATAGCAACCGTCTGCTGTTTTTTTATTGGCTGACTTGTTTCCATAGTAACAGGTTAACCTTGAGGCTGCAGTCGCAGACCAGTTTGCTGTCTAGGCGAATCCAGAATGTATGAAGAGCTCTGCTAAGTCAAGATGTCACCCATGTTTCAACGCTCCAGCAACACTGGAGAAAGGGTCTGCATGTTGTAGCAACCTAGTGATGAAAGTGCAACGCAGTCTCTATAGGAGTCTGCAATGTCAGCCTTGTACAGTGCCTGAAAAAATATTTTTTGGGGAATGGTACATTAGGTTATTTTCACATACTATGTAACATGTATTGTTCTGCCATTTTAAAATGTGGAGAAGAGGTTACATTTTTAAAGCAGTGTTTCCAAACTTTGTCTTATGTTCTCCCAGAGCCCTATCAATAAAAATCAAGTGCTGTTTGTCTTTAACATTAAACCATAAAAAAGGCATTGTAACTTATATTTACAAATATATCAGGAAATTATTTGTCGACATGCCACTGAATTATTAAAAAGCAAATCAGGTTTTTGTCCTTAAAGGGTTAGTTCCCCCAAAAGTGAAAATTAGCCCATCATTTACTCACCCTCAAGCCATCCTAGGTGTATATGACTTTCTTCTTTCAGAATCAGACGAATCCAATTAAAAAACGTCCTGGCTCTTTCAAGCTTTATAATGTCAGTGAATAGGTGATTTTTGTCAACAGTCCAAAAGAAGTAAAATAAAGCGCATCCGTCTATAATAAAACGTGCCTCACACAGCTCCAAGGGGTGAATAAAGGCCTCCTGTAGCGAATCAGTGCGGTTTTGTAAGAAAAATATACATATTTAAAACGCTATAAACAGTTTACTTTTACTTTAAAATAAAACACAAAAATAACAACTTTATGCAAAAATTTCTTCTCTTACGTGTCAGTCTCCGTCACACATTCAGGAGAGTAGCACGACGCACCACGAAACCTTCGAAATAATGAAATAACTCAATAAAGTGATACTGAACTGTTATGCAGTCGACAGACCTGGAACTACTTCATAGCTGTGGGTTTACTGGAAAATATATATGTATATTTTTTGTCCTAAATGCAGATGGATCAGATTCTGGCCTTTAAAAATGTCTCTTCCATCAAGCTAAATAAGTCATACCTGTAAAATGTGAAATTAAGAGATTGATGATGTCTGGTTAATTTCAGCCAAACATTCAAGGTTAATTCTTTGACAGCTGCCCTTTGTTTCCAGTTGCCTAATTTGGTAAAACGGTCTGCTCTTTAAAAGGACTTGTTTATGCCAAGTTTCCTCCATTTTGTTGAAACAGATGTCACATCTATCTTTTCTAACCTTCTATGGCTTTTTCCTTGTAACAACTTCTAACTATCTCTACAATTTTTCTGTACTTGGTCGTTCATTATTCCATTGCAATAGATTTTTTTTCAGTTCCTCTTAGTGAAGACCCCTTCACCTTCACCCAGAGGTAACTAGTATATGTGCAATTGTTTCCTCTCAGGGTTTCTCAACAAAAACACCTCGAGTTTACTCTAGTCACTATTCTATTTAGCTACTAAGGTCATGGCAAGGTCAATGTCTTCTTCTGATGTTTTATTAAGATTGTAGAAACATTTTAGCTCAATTGTCTCTAAACTCTTGAGTGAACAACACATTTTCCCCAAATGCATTTGAGTTCCATAGTTGGATTTTAAATGTCCTTACTGAACCTGCAAAATCACAATGAGATAGGAGGAGTGAAGTACTGCCCCCTGGTGTTAATGCTGCAGCAGTACATGTGGGAAAAAAACTCCTCCAACCTGCTCTCTCGGAGCTGCCTCAAGAATGACCAAACAGAAACTTCTCTTAAAAATGTAGAATTGATGTTGAATTGAGGGACATAAACATTTTTTTTTTTATGTTGAATGTATAAAACCAATAAACAGCCAAATGGGTCCAGCCATCCATTCATTTGTATATTTATGCAAATGTAAAAACTAATATTTAGAAATATATAAAAATATCTAGTTTGAACGTTTTGAACTATCGTGACAGTGTTTAAGGAACAAACCATACTCCAGAATAAAATGTCAAATGTAACTTATATGTTTACTGCTAAAACAGTTTACTGTTTTAGATCCTATCATGAACATACGGTCATAAAATGAAGTGCTACAAAATACTGCACCTCATGAGTGTGCTAGCAAATCTATTTTTGTTCCTGGCTGGTTTAATGAAATTAGAGTAAGTGTTGATCCTCGCTATTCACAGCTGCCTGAATTGCTTGAACAACGGGTCAAACCTCTGACGAGCAGCTGTGTGGTTCTTGCTGCTCTTCATCACTCCATGACGAAGACCCATCTGTCCCAAAGTAACGATCACCAAAGTCTCCTTCAATGACAGCAAATACACACCCACAAGATTTCAGTAAATAGTTGTAGGGTTTGTTTCTTTCTTATATTTATATACACTACCATTTAAAGATTTAGGGTCAGTAAGACGTTTTGGTATTTTACAATAAGGTCCTATTTGTTAACATTAGTTTATGCATTTACTAACATTAACTAACAATGAGCAATACATTTGATTACAATATTTATTAATCTTTGTTAACATTAGTTAATAAAATACAACTGTTAATTGTTAGTTTATATTATCTAATTAAATATATGAGTTCATTAAATATGAACAGATATAACTTTTAATAATGTATTAGTAAATGCTGAAATTAAAGGGATAGTTCACTCAAAAATGAAAATTCTGTCATTAGTTACTCACCCTCATGTCGTTCCAAACCCGTAAGACCTTCGTTCATCTTCGTAACACAAATTATGATATTTCTGATGAAATCCGAGAGCTTTCTGACCCTCCATAGACAGCAATGGAACTACCACGAATAATGTCCAGAAATGTACCAAGAACATTGACAAAATAGTCCATGTGAAATCAGTGGTTTAAAAATGTTATGAAGCTTAAAAAATACTTTTTGTGCGCAAAAAAACTAAAATAATTTTATTCAAAAATTCTTCTCCTTTGTGTCACTCTAGCACCATTTTGGAGAATACCACAATGTATGTGTGTGCTTTCTATGTTTCTGGACCTTGAACGTGGTAGTTGCATTGCTGTCTACGGAGGGTCAGAAAGCTGTCGGATTTCATTAAAATATCTTAATTTGTGTTTCGAAGATTAACAAAGGTCTTACGTGTTTGGAACGACATGAGGGTGAGTAATTAATGACAGAATTTTCATTTTTGGGTGAACTATCCCTTTAACATAGCATTATTAATTAAGATTAATAAAGACTTTAGAAGTATTTTTCATTGTTAGTTTGTGTTAACGAATGTAAATGTTGTAAATGTTTTTGAAAGACATCTCTTATGCTTACACTGAATTTATTTGATCAAAAACACAGTAAAACAAAAATACTGTGGAATATTATTAGAATTTAAAATAACAGTTTATATTTAATACATTTTAAAATGTAAGTTATCTCTGTAATAACAAAGCTGAATTTTCTTCAGTGTCACGTGATCCTTCAGAAATGAATCTAATTTGCTGCTCAATAAACATTTCTTTTTATTATCAATGTTGAAAACAGTTCAAAAGAACCAAATTTATTTGAAATTTACAATAAATTGTAAATGTATTTATTTCCATTTTTATATCCTTGCTGAATAAAAGTATTCAATTCTTTATAAAAAAAAAAAAAACAACTTACTGGCCACAAATTTTTGAATGGTAGTTTATCTATGTCAGAAAAACTCACCTATGCCTGGAATGACATGAAGGAGGTCATCTAGACTCTTGTCCACAGCAGTGGTGATGATTTTGACACAAGGGAAGGCGTAAGCCACTGAGTGAACACCCAACTCCGCCATCAGCAGAGACACCAACACAACCTTGTCTTCCTGGACATCATGGTCCTGTATATACATATACACACACACTCACATTCAACAAATGTATCATTTTCACAATGAATTGTCGCACCTAATTACTTTATTGCTAGAGAAGACAGTCAAATACGCTTCGTGCAAAATTGTGTGGACTGTACAGCCATTCAGGGTTTGTACTGTTTGTTTGTACACTGTGGAATGAATGAGGTCGATAGCCACATACCAGCAACACCCTCACTGCCATCATGGCTGCCGCTCCTGTGAAAACGGTGCTGTCCATCAATATCACATGGTCCTCACTGATGTCTCTGGGCAGTCGCAGGTAGTGCAGCTAAATGGAGAGGGGGGAGTCTTAGTTACCACGGAAACAAAGTGAGAAAGAGGGAACCACAGCCACCAAAAAGAATGAAACTGAGGAGTCAGGAGATCTCTGTCACCATGGAGACAGAGACCAACAGGCAAAATGGACATAAAGGGTTTGCTAAGAGCCGAGAAAATAAATACATTTTATTTAAAATACAATACAAGGCCATAAATTTTTTTCTAAAAATATATATTTTTTCTAGAAAGTTGCTAGAATTAGTCAGACTGGAATTTATTAGTAAGATCTTTCTTATAGTACATAAGACAAGAAAGACAGGCTTCATTGTATTTTCAGTCTGTTACTGATATTGTGGGCAGTGATTTGAAGCCTGTTTTACCTCTGGTTCTCCTGATCCAGATTAGTCTGGATCAGAATCTTGCCAATATGGACACAGCTCTCGTGTCTTAGTTACCATGGAAACAAAGTGAGGAAAAAGGGCCAGCCACCAAAAAAAATTAAACTGAGGAGTCAGGAGATCTCTGTTACCACGGAGACAGAGACCAACAGGCAAAACGGACATATAGGGTTTGAGAAGAGCCGAGAAAATAATAATTTTTTTTAATCTAGAAAGTTGCTAGAATTAGTTAAACTGGGATTTAGTAGTAAGATCTTTCTTACAGTAGCTAAGACAAGCAAGAAGGCTTCATTGCATTTTCAATCCGTTACTGATATTGTGTGCAGTGATTTGAGGCCTGTGTTACCTCTGGTTCTCCTGAATCTAGATTAGTCTGGATCAGAATCTTGCCAATACGGACGTCTTTGCACACGGCTCTCAGAGCAGGTTCCATGGTCTCCCCGGCCCGAAGAACGGACACACCTGTGATCTAGGTGACAGAAGGACAGGTGCTGCTTAAAAACCAATATAATTTCAATCAAATACTTGATGAAAAATATTCCTAATAGTGGAAATGAATGTTTAAATACTGAAAATGAACAGACACACAAATTTACCCCTTTACCACTAAATCTGCGACCCTCATACTCTTGGCCTTGTAGTGTCTGGACGAAACAGGCCTGTAAAAAGGATGGATATTTGTGTGATGATACATACAGTAAAGCTGAGAAGAAAATGCTTCACTCTGTATTCCTTAAAAGGGATGACAAAAGGTCATCAAAATATTTATATTAAGGCAGTCATATTTACATTAATACTTCACAGTGAACCATTTATTTATAATATTTATTTTAAAAAGTACTTTCAAAGTAACAGGCAAATTTATAAATAATGAAAAATAAGGCAATTAAATGTGCCAACTGACTTGTATGCTGATTAATTAGCTGGCATTTACTGTAATTGATTCCATTAAATTTTATAATGATATAAATGTTATTCATTGCAATTAGTTTGATTAATTAAAAATGTGTAGTTGCATACTGTAGTGTGTGTGTAATTGTTGCTATTCGTTTGATTAATCAACAGGTATAATTAATTCAATTCAAATTTTTATTGATATATGTGATTATTAGAAATTAATTTGATTAATTAACTGCCATTTAATGTAATTAATTCAAATGATATTTTATTAAATATATGTGTGACTAATTGCTCCTCATTTGATTAATTAACTGGCATACATACTTAACTCAGTTAAACATTTCATTGCTATATGTGTGATTATTAGCGATTTATTTGATTAGTAACCGACAGCTCATGTAATTCATTCCATTAAAATTTTATTTAAGCCTTAGTTATAGTTTAAATCTCAAATTCAGGTTTGATCGCACAATAATATCAAACTTTGGTAAAAAAAGACACTGAGTGGCACACATACACACAGAAAAACACCCACACACCTTGGAGGGCAAGAAAGACAGCGCATGTTCAATAAGCAACCGCATCAGTCTCTCTGAGTAGAAGATGAACTCGTCACGGCTGGTGTCTTTGTTCCTAAAAACAAACATAAAAGACGCAGAGAATAGGGTTAAGCAGGCCAGTGAGTCATTAGCCTGATTCACACATGTGAGGAATTCTGAATGGCAGACGGAACAGATGAATGGATTCCAAAACACATTTCAACAATGAGCATTAACATTTAAAAGTAGGATTTCTTTTGATGTGCTTCAGAGAACTGATTCATATGACACTCACCTGATGATGGTGTGGAGACCGTGGACCTGTGGTGTGCTTTCCAACACACTGAGAGTCTGAGGAAGCGGCTGGGACTGATGGGCCGTGGCCAGGAGTGCCCTGTGTGTGTGTGTGTGTGTGTGCAAATGAAAGAGCAGAGACATAAGGCAAATCCGCACTGTTAAAAAGAAAAAGACGATTCAAATACGTGTACACCAAGTATTCAAATAAAGCCGCTTGTACACCAGTCCATGACATTTCTAACACTGTCACTAAAGGGATCCATGTGGGCAGTGGCCCTACATTTGAAAACATAGTTATGGGTTATAGTCCTGTTTAAATGCACAAACATACATAACAAGACCAACTATATATACAGTATATATACATATATATATATATGTATAGCTGGGTGAGGGCTAGTTGTCACGCTTTTTACTCCAGAGAATATTTCTATATTTTAAAAACTAATTTTTTTACAGACTGTAAATGTGTGTTTATGTACGAGGGTGTGTGTGAGAAAGAGGAAAACTTCTCTACCTGACACTAATCTCACGCTGCCGAGAGAATGCATGCAATAGAACAGAGATGAAAGATCAGTGAAAAACAATGAACGAGAAAGAATGAGGCTGAGATTGTGAGAGAAGTAATCTGTCTTGTACCAGGACAATTGTTTACCTAATTTTTCCTAAATTCACAAGCAGAGGGCGCCGTTTGCCGTTTGTTTTGTGTGGAAATGTGAAGAAAGCTGAAGCTGAAGAAGAATCTTTAAGTCTATTCAACATGCCACACAGAGTTTGGAATGTTTTATAAATTGTATTTGACTGGAATGCTTGTTTTGTAATATTTTACCTATTGTAGGGTGACCATACGTGCCATTTTCCCAGGACGCGTCCTGGCCAGGATTTCTATATTGCCTAAAATATCTAGGATTTGGCTTTGTTTGCGTGTGCAGACCAATCGGTGTATGACATCAAAATACCTCGAGAGCATTTTGAAAGCATAAGGAACTGTCTGTATGGTATTTTGATGTCATACACCAATCGGTCTGCACACGCAAACAAAGCCAAAACCTAGATATTTTAGGCAATATAGAAATCCTGGCCAGGATGCATCCTGGGAAAATGGCACGTATGGTCACCCTAACCTATTGTATATTCTAACATTGATAAAGTGCTAAATGACTTTTGTGAGGCAAGGCATTTTGAGCTCCTTTATGAAAACAAACAGATTATGATTACAACTATAAAGTGATTTTTAAGTTGATATTGTGTATAACACATAACAGTGACTGTAAAATATTTATTTTAGGTATGGGAGTGGCATATTTTGAGTTTTGAAAACTGGAAAAGAGCTATTGGGCTATTTTTGATTGGTCAATGAGCTAGTTTGTTTTGGTGACCTGGCAACCTTGACGCCACATTCCCCTAAAATTTTTGAGACGATACTGGGAGAAAAAAAACCCATCTCAGGTTTACATAATGAACTAAGCTGTTAAAAAGAGGTTTTTAAATTTTTTTTATTCATTTGACCTGTCTTGTCTAGGGCAGACTACCAATGTGACCACAAAAAATAAGCAAATAACTTCTCCTGGTCTAGAAGAATGGATAAGATTAGTTCACAGGACACTATCATAACGTCTTTTTTCACTCACCTCTTCTAGCTGGCTGTGAACATGCTGAACAATCAGGTCAATGGCCACCATGTTACCTCCACCTGTGTGTGAAGGAGAGAAATAAATAAAGGTAACATCTGCAAACTGCATGCATGTGTGTTGAACTCACCACGTGGCACTACAATGTCTGCAAGTCTCATGGTGGGTTCGATGTACTGCTCGAAGGCTGGTTTTACAAATTTGTTATATTGTTTAATGACCCCCTCAATGTCCCGACCTCTCTCTGTGATGTCCCTCCTCAGCCGCCGTACCAGCCGGATATCTGAATCTGTATCTACAAAAATCTTCATGTCCATCAGCTGCAAAAAAAGAAGAAGAAATGTGACCCTGGACCACAAAACCACTCTTAAGTCGCTGGGGTATATTTGTAGCAATAGCCAAAAATACATTATAGGAGTCAAAATTATAGATTTTTCTTTTATGCCAAAAATCATTAGGATATTAAGTAAAGATCATGTTCCATGAAGATATTTGGTAAATTTCCTACTGTAAATATATTAAAACTTAATTTTTGATTAGTAATATGCATTGCTAAGAACTTCATTTGGACAGCTTTAAAGGCGATTTTCTCAATATTTTGATTTTTTTGCTCCCTTAGATTCCAGATATTCAAATAGTTGTATCTCGGCCAAATAGTGTCCTATCATAACCATACATCAACGGAAAGCTTATTTATTCAGCTTTCAGACGATGTATAAATCTCAATTTCGAAAAATTGACCCATATGACAGGGTTTTGTGGTCCAGGGTCACAAATATTATGCTTTCAGTTGTAGGATATAGTGACAGATACTTTTTACACTCAAACAAAGATAAACAATTAAGTAATCAATATTAGTAATTACTTTAGTAATCAATATAAACTAAATAGAAAAACTGTACTTTAAATGCACTGATTTTGTCAACTTCTAGGAGCACATTAGCATATAGATCCTATTCCTATTCTATGGGCTAAAAACATTTTGATTTCATGCAATGTTATTCAGATGGATTTGTGATAATGGTCCTTCAACATCTCCCTTACTTCATCACCAAAATATTTTTATCACTTTCTTTGCTTTGAAATTTTATCTGTATTTACTAAACCGAAACATTTGATCATACCTGCAAGAGCTCTTTGTCTGCAAAGGACAAGATGCCTTCAAAGATAATGACGCTGGCACCATAAACATTTTTCTGAAAGAATATGAAATGAAAACGCAAAGACCATCAAACAAACTGAAATCTTTTCCAAGCCATCACTATTATAAATTATGACTGTTTCTGTGGTATATATTTTTAATATACTTCTGGAAAATATGTGAAACATCTGCCACACACACTCACCCAGTCTTTCTGGCGTCCATGTGTAGTGAAGTCATAGACTGGGATTTTTACACTTTTTCCCTGTTTAAGTTTCCGCAGTGTGGTCACAAGCAGCTCAAAGTCGAAAGCTCCAGGATGGTCAAAGTTATAGTCGTTACGGGCAGCCAGAGCTTGTTCCTCTGGAGACAGAACCTGCAGATGGGTAACATAAAGGTTGCATGTTTGATCACTGGTGGAGGGCGACACAGACACTGGAAAGATCACGATCCTGCCCTACCACCATATGTGCTTTAACAGCAATGCAAGGGATGCTATTATATTCTGATCACATAAACCATGGCATCTGGGGCTGTTGGTAATATATTAGGATTAGCGAATACATGTTAAGAACTACATAAAATTAAAGGGGTCATATGATGCGATTTCAAATTTTCCTTTCTCTTTGGAGTGTTACAAGCTCTTGGTGCATAAAGAAGATCTGTAAAGTTGCAAAGACTAAAGTCTCAAATCCAAAGAGATATTCTTTATAAAAGTTCAGAGTCAGCCATACCTACCTAAAACGGCTCATTCTAACACGCCCCCACATATCTACCTCACTATGTGGGAAGATTTGCATAACGCCGCCCAAATGTTCACGCAAAGAAAAGAAGGTGTAACTTTTATTCTCACTGTAGTATTGTTGACGCTGCAGCCATGTCGTGAAGACGCTGTGTGCTTCGTTGTGAAAGCAAAACTACTTTGTTTGGTCTTCCAAAAGAGGACAATATCTGCTTCGTCATGCCTGGAGCTGATCCGTGCTGGTCGCTGAGGGAATACATCAACTTTCACCGTGGACGAAGCGGAGTCCAGCCCGGCCTCAGCGCACACTAAGCCGGGGCTTCCGCTAGGCCACTGTGTTTTTCGTTGTGAAAGCGAAACTACTTTGTTTGGTCTTCCAAAAGAGGACGATATCCGCTTCGTCATGCCTAGAGCTGATCCGTGCTGGTCGCTGAGGAAATACATCAACTTAGTGCTGTGGATCGCCGGATCGGCTTTCACCGTTTACACCAAATACACAAAATAATGTTATTTTTAGCAGCATCATATGACCCCTTTAAAAAAGTAATAGTTTGTCTAAATATGAAATTCGGATAAAACATACAGCACAACCAGTGTAGTCTGATCCCTGAATGAATGACTCTAAAGAGCCAGTTATTCTTAGTGAATAAAAAAAACATACAGCACAACCAGTTTAGTCAGAATCCTGAATTAATGAGTCCTAGATTCTTTGTGGGGACTCAAAACCATCCAGTATAGAGCTAAGGCAGTCCGATTCCTAACAAACTCAAGATCTTAAGATCCAGTTCTTTTTAGTAGATCAGCACAAATACAGAAGTGTAGTTTCTGACTGGTTCTTCATAGCACAACCATTAATACTATTTAAAGATACACATGATACACATTATGAGTATTATCAAAAGTTTGTTTGTGTGGTTACGTGTTGGTACAAACATCAAAAGAGATGAAGAAAGAAGGAGAAGGATTACAAAGATTTTCAGAAGCACTTGACTTAACAGGTTAACTTCACACGGTGGACAAATCACTCATTCAGATCTCACACTCGATACAAACACTCACAAATATCTCACCTTATAGAATGAGACCATAGACAGCAAAACCACCCAAGGAACATCCAAAGCTTCAATGATTTTATTGGCTACAGTAGTTTTTCCAGAGGCACTGCCACCACACAGACCTGTAATAACAGAATTACTTCATTCTAGGGCTGTGCAAAAAACCGTATGCTATTTTCATGCTCATCTCGTCAGTAAAGCCTGTTCTGTGATTAGTAGTAAATCTCCAGCACGTGCGTTCAGATGGAGCGGCATTTACTACACAGAGCCTAGATCACTGACAAGCTACGCAAAATCGCATTCAAAATCAGCAATGAATCGCCTTCTGTTCAGCATGAATTCAGTATGTTTCCATCGACTCGTACCAATAACAAAGGCCTCTTTAAACTGGGCTCCATGTTCATTGTACCAGGGCGGTCTGCCGGCTGTGTAGATGGTACGTGTGCCGGTGCGGAGCAGTGGAGGTTCTGTTTTACCCAGAGTGCTGCTTTTCCTGCGAGAGGTGCTGACCGCAAGGAGGAGTCTGTCCAGAGAGTCTTCACCACTTCCACTGGAACAAAAAAGAGAACTGTTTTAATCTGTTTAGTTTAAGTTTTTACTAATCTTGGTTCATCTTAATTTCAATATATTTAAATACACTATTCAAATCAAATGTTATATCTGTTAATATTATTTAATGGACCTGAGCTAAATGTATTACTCATTGTTAGTTGATGCCGTTAGTTAACATTAAATAATGGTACCTTATTGTAAAGTGTTACCAAGACACATGTAAGTTGATTTTCCCAAAAAGTGTGAACACTGTTTCTATCAAATCAGTTCTCTGTCTGACCCACCCAACATAGCAACAGCAGCTCCACCAATGAGATGCATTTGGGGTGGGGCAATCTGTATGTCCAACCAATGAAATACAGGTGGAGTGTTTGGGAAACCTTATTGACAACAGTTATTTTTGCTGTTCTTTTTGGTGCCACTAGTGCTACGTAAATTACACACTTGACTTTTTTTCCATAATGTTTCATGCAAAACAAATACTAAAACAAACAAACAAACAAAAAAATCAGCAACAAAGCATGTACCACAGAACTAAATGAGTTGCTTTTATCAAAATCCAAAGTGCAAGAAACAAAGTAATTATTTAGTGTTCTTTTTGTCTAGTTTATTATAATTATGAACATATATTTGATAAGTTGATTGATGTTTATAGGATATAAATTCCAAATGCAATTGTTAATGCCTTACAAAATGAACTGGCAGTGAGTAGCAGGTGTCATTGATATGCTTAACAAAAAGTAAAACCAAAACTATTAAAAATCTTTTTGGTAACACTTTACTTAAAGCCTTTATGTATAATGCATTATAAAGTGTCATTAAAGGTTATAATGCATTATAATTATTAATAATACACGTTGCAATACATAATATCTTGTCGTAAAAAATTATAACCAAATTTAAAATGCAGAGTGTAACAACAAATTTATAAGTGTTATAATGTATATTAACTGTGGTTACAATTATTCATGAGTCATGACATTGTACAATGCATTATAAGGTGCATTACAAGGCATAATTAATGCATTAAAACTATTTTTATAATGCATTATACATAAAGGCTTTAAGTAAAGTCTTACCAATCTTTGTTATTAACTGAAATAAGGCTGAAATAAAATTTTATATTACACATATTAGAAATGTTGCCTTCACAAATTAAATGAAATACGTTAAGTACTAAAATGAATACAACTAAAACCAAAATAAAACTAAATGAAAGCTAAATATAAAAAAAAATCCAATATAAATGACAAAGCACATAAATGACAAAGCAAATTACTAAAACTTTAAAAACTTAATACAAATGTAGAAACACTATAATAGTATATACAGCAAATATTATTAAAATAACAATGGTGGGCGTGTGTGTGAATGAATGTTTAAGCTATTCTCTTGTACATGATCAACTGATTCAACCTAAAACTGAAACGAACAAGCTTTCAATCATTAAAATCCAACTGAAATAATTTAAGAGGTTTAAAACAGCAGCCAAGAGATCTTTTCCCCTGCATCACGTCAGTGTCATACACAACCTGTCTGTCTCTCACTGTCTTTGTATTAACATGAGTGAGTGACTAAATCAGGCCACCAGTCACAGCACATTCAAAAACAGCTCAACAACACAGAGCTAACGAGAAAGGTGCTGCTAATATTACGTTAATAGCCAAAAGACATAACGTCTTAAAAATGTATAGGTCCCTGAAATAAAAAAGCAGACTCAAAATCTAGACTATAAACCCGATAAACTCAAGCGAAAAACAGCAGGAAACAGCAGCTGCAACACTTTAAGACATTTTAATGATTTACTCTTTAATGGCATATGTCACTCTGTTCAGATTATACTCAAACGAGTGGATAAAGCGGCATTTAATTAACCTTTTAAATACTAAAGAGTGCATTTAATAACTTACCCTCCATCTGTACGGAGTGCCCAGCAGCCTGATATCCTGGCCCCTGTGTATCCGGGCAGCATGCTCATATCAGCTAAAATAGTCTGACGGCTGTCTTCCATATGAGCAATAAAGGTCACATTCTCATCGAAGCTCAAACGGCCCAAGACAGATAAACTAGCTAATAATCACAGCGGAAGCACAAAGCCTGGGTCACAGAGAGGGCAGACATCATAGCACTCTGAACGCACTGGGAAAATCACACGCCTTCCCTAAGAAAGCACCAGATCTGTAGATAAACACTGGGATCTGCCTTTGTTTTATCAGAGTAATCCTTGAGGTTTAGCCGATCGTTAGCTGACCACTGACTACTGTATTTGAGAAACCTTTTAATAAATAGAAAAACAACTTTTCTTTGTGTCTGGAAACTCGCTCGCAGTGTGTGGGCTTGATTAGATAAGAGGATCAGCTCCAGGGGCGTAGATTACGCGGGGGACGCGGGGGACATGTCCCCCCCACTTTTTATAAAAAGTAAATTCGTCCCCCGCACTTTTTTATTGGAGAGTTGTGTTTACGACATGTTGAGGTTTTAATAGAGCGATGTATATAAATGCAGAATGATTTAAAATTAAAAGAGAAGATAGTCTATACATGACGTTCACGTTTCCATGGCAATCAGTCACTCTGTCACGTCATGACACGCCCTAGCTCGCATCCGCGGTCTCGCGCTGTATCCAACATTCATAGAGCTCGCGATGAGTTCAAAGCGACAAAAAACTCTTCACTCGTTTTTACGAAAAAGTCAAGCAGCGTAAGTTGGCATGTGGTATCCGAATTGTGTTGCACACTGTTGAGTAACTCTGCCTATTGCTCTTGTTGAATAATTAGCTAGTTTTGATGGAAATTATAAAAACTAGTTTTTTTTTTTTAAGTTTCAAAGCTCAAAAGGCACCGAATTGTAGGAATGACCCAAATAGTTGTGCAGGCTTACTTTATTTTAAATAAAAATTTCACAAAACTGCTTGAGCTGGGAGTATTATCTCTGAACTAATTCCCACATCACACACATACTCGAACACACAAACAAAAAGTATAAAAGGAAATATATATATTTTTTGCTTTATAACAATCACAAACAACCTAACGCTGTCCAGTTGGGTTCACAGTACAAATGCAGGTTTAAATTATTTAGGTTCATCTCTAATGTCAAACGATTCCTGGAACACCTGCAGGAACCGGACACATTTTGCTTACGTAGTGCCACAATCTTGAAGGGCACATTTGAGGGCACGTCTGGCAAGGTCACATTCCAGCAGAAAATAGTTAACAAGCCTGTTTATGTGGGCAAAGTTCATAATATAGCAAGTTCTGACAGTATTACCAGACATCATTGTAGAAGGTCTTATAGACTTTAAAGTGGATCTGAGTTTTTACAAAATCCAAGGAGCTTTGGTACAGCCAGCTGGGTCCTCCTTTATCAGATATGAAGATTCAAGATTCCTCTGCATTTTATGTTTGCATTTCGAAGTAGATTTGGGGTAGATAAATCATGAGTGCACATGAAAAGCTCCTTTTGTAGGTCTCATCTGGTATGAGTTTTCTTTAAGCGTAGTGAGAATGTGGGGGTTGAACTGTATAACTGAAACCTGTCCCTGTGTCCCAGTCCATGACAGCTTCAGTCAAATGTCTCTGGCCTCAGTCGGACCAGACACACTGATGTCCCTTCAGAGTGCAGGCAGTCTGGTAGAACTGTCGCACGCATGGTCGAAGCTATGACAGGTTTCCGGATAGCCCTGGAAAAAAAGAGGGAAAGTGAGGGATGGAAAGAAGAGAAAAAGCATGAATGAGTGAATGAATCTAAAACGTCTCAGAATAGTTCTCCAATGGCAACCTACATACATATATCGGTGCTACATGCTGGACATCAAAATTGAGGAGGCAGTTTTTGGGCAGTTTTATGGATTTGGGTTTTTAGTACACACTATGGTTCAAACTATGGTTCAATGCTGTTGTTTTGAACTTTCTATTCATCAAACAATCTTGAAAAAAAAAATCTTCACAAAAATCTGCACAACTGTTTTCAACATTGGTAATAATATGAAATGTTTCTTGAGCACAAATTCAGCATCTTAAGGCCAGTTGCTGTGGTGTGGACTCTGCTATTCTTTAATATTGAGAACAATTTTTAGAACTACATTTATCGTTATCTTTACAGTTATTGTCCTTGGTGTGAACAGGCCTTTAGAATGATTGCAGTTTTGCCATCACAGGAATAAATTACATTATAAAATATATTAAAACAGAAAACAGTAGTTCTAAATTGTAATAATATTTCACAATATTACTGTTTTTACTGTATTTATTATCAAATAAATGCAGCCTTGACAAGCATAATAGACTTCTCTCAAAAACATTAAAGGGGTCATATGGATCAGAATCAGGGAACAGTCCTCCATAAAATGTGCTGGATACATCTGAATATTTGGGTTGAAGTGTTCTGGAACAGTGTTGTAAATACAACTTAACCACTGATTTCTAGTTGTGTCCATTTTTGGAACACCTAGAAAATCGCAACTTTTCATTTTCCGTCTTTGTACACGATGTAACTACAGAAGAGTCAAGTTTTAAATAGGAAAAATATTGAAACTCTTTGGTCATTTTTGAGTGAGATGCTAATTGTCTAATCAGATTCAATGATCTATGCTAAGCTGCAGCTGAAAGTGCTACTGACTACAGACCCGGAGATCGGCTGAATGGATTCGAAAACGGTAAAACTCAACTGTTTAACTGAGTTGGAAAATGAGCCTATATTTTCAAAAATAGTGGAGTGTTCCTTTAACTTTTATAAAGAATATCTCTTTGGATTTGAGACTTTAGCCTTTGCAACTTTACAGATCTTCTTTATGCACCAAGAGCTTGTAACACTCCAAAGAGAAAGGAAAAATGGAAATCGCATCATATGACCCCTTTAAAAAAAAATCTTATCAACTCCAAACGTGGGACTATCAACAAGCAACCATTATCTTAGAATTTTTATTTGTCACTAGTACTGACTGTTCATAAAATTCACAAATGTTAATGAATTAGTTAATTTCTTGATTTATTTCATACTGTGAGCACACTGGTTATTTTGTTCTAGTGACCGCCCTAGTTTTAGATTTTTCTTCAGGTTTATTCATCTGACATAACTCCAATAGTGAGTAGAAAAAAGATGCAGTCAACTAAACACAATGTAAATGTTTCCTAAATATTATTTTAGTCACTTTTTTGGCTTATGTTGTTGGAAAGGGTGTCCCTTGCAAGAAGTTCAACATATTTGGGCCATACAAAAATTTAAAACCCCCTGCACTAAAACATAAAATAAAGCTGCTAGGGAGAGATAAATAGGCACAAATTCACCAATTCGCCATAACTTTCATTTTCCATTATGCTCACATTATCGCTTTTAGGTCATGCCACCTGCTGCAGAATATTTCTTCCTCATTTTTCTCTTTATTCACACACACACACACACCTCTGCTCAGCAGCTGTAAGTTACGCCCTTCCTCTTGTACTTGTAGTTGTAGAACCTGCTGGAGAAGCTCTTGTCTCAGAGTCTCCTGAACCAAACCCATCCGCTCTAACTTCTCGCCATTCAATCTCAGGAGAGCACGACCTGACAAAGACAAAGTGACAGAGAGAGATACAGTTTCACTAGACATGAGCGCTTTGGAAACACACAAGCTCTGCAGCCTCTGCATTATGTATGCACAGTTTTGCTGGCAGCTATAAACAAGTTACAGCATTGCAAATCCCCCTAAGGTTATTATCTCCATGTTTCCAGTGATCTTTGCATGTGTGACTATGGTAACATGCTGCGTGGAACCGCTGCCTGAGGGCACAGGCCGCCTCGGGTTCATTTCCCACTTTATTTCCAACTGAGCCTCTCGTGCTGTGACTCTAAACACTTCAGTCCATAGCTTTGCAGAAAAAACACTGCGCCTGTTTTTTTAACTCTCTATATTCCTTTTCTCTCTATTTCCTTTTCTATGGATCTCACCCAGTGTGTCTGTGATCTTGATGCTTTGTGTCCACTGAGAGAAAAGAGGATTTGTGGAGGACGGGATGCCACACGGGTCTCTAGTGAGCAAGAGGGCACTCAAGGAGTGAGTGGGAGAAGCAGCGGTCTAAGCAGCAGTGTGTGAGTGGGACCCCGTGATATGCTCAGACATGAGTCGTATATTCACACCATAATGCTTCAAACTAGGGCTTTAGCAATCGATTCTTTTAGTATCAATAAAATACAAATATAAATAAAAAATAAACTAAAATAAATAAATAAAAAACAAAAATCTATTTCACATTACTTTAAAAAAGGTAAACAGTACAAACTAAAACTAAGGCATAAATCAAAATAATAGTAATAAAATAAAAAAAATACCTAAACATTGCATTTATGTCGTGCAACTTAACTTTCAAGTTTCAGTCTAACTCGCTTTAGCTCAAACATAACATAAGCCTTTACTGTCTTGGAAGGCTTTGTGGCTTTTGTGAGAGGCAAAAATCAGTGAACTATATCAGTATCAAAATTCATCTATGCAATGCAGAGGAAACACAGAATCTGCATGGGATGAATTTCCCACACAGAGGGACATGAATGCATTTAACCTGCAGTTACAAATGTATAAATTATATTTTGTTATTTAAAAAAAAAAAAATTGAATACTGATATTTAAAATTATTTTAAAAACGAAAAGACACTTTAAATGTCACATTAAAACCGCCAGTAGGTGGCAGCAAGTCACTGTTAAGAAGTGAGTCATTCCGATTGAACCGAATCATTTAAACGGTTGATTCATTCAGACACGAAACGCCGTCATGTTGCTCAGAGACGCAAAACAGCGCTGTGACTGTTTGGATTATTATTTTTTTTGGCAAAATCAGGCAATATAGTGTCTGAAGTCTCTTAATATTGCCTTCTTGTTTATTTAACTGTTAAATAAAATCTCATTTGTAATCATGCTGATTTTAGAGGTGAAAACTGGCACTCTTTCTTTCTGTGGTGTTTTTATGCACAATGGCAAAATAATTTGCCTCGATGATTTTTTGTATTCGAGTCACTCGAGGTATTCGAGGAATCGTTTCAGCCCTACTTCAAACCCAAGAAAAACATGGTAAAATAATAATGAAGTATCAGCATGGCCAGTGAGTCCTAGCTTAAAAAAATCCAACTGTCTGCAGCTTTCCCCATTGATGGCCAAAAAAAGTACTCATTTATTTAAACTTAATTTTTTTGGCAAAAAATAAAATAAAAATACACTACCATTCAAACATTTGTGGTCAGTAAAATTCTGAAATTATAATATTGTAAAATATTATTAAAATTTTAGCCATTTTTTTATGTCTTCAGTGTTGCATGATCCTTCAGAAATCATTCTAATTTGCTGATTTGGTGCTCAAG